TAGTAGCGGCGCCAGGATTTCAGTTCAGGGTGGGCTCATCATGGGTTTAGCCCACCCTAACCTACACAAAGTGTTCTTTTTACATAGCTTTCAAAATCTCTCAGGGTGGGCTCGATGTAAATCAGGATGGGCTGAGCCCACCCTGGCCCACCCCTGGCGCCGCCACTAGTTTCAGATCTTTTGACTTATTCTTGTCCTAAGCTAACATCCGTCTCTATAAAAGAAAAATACAATTTGAATTTTGAAAATTAGTATTCAGGATAAAGATCATGGTATAATTTGAAAACAATACTATAAAACTACCATATGTGACTTTTAGAGGCGACGTACAGACTGTCCAAATACTTCCTTGACTAAAAAAAGCTTCCGAGAGGGAACTACGAGTGAAATGTCTTTTCTTTTTTAGCCATTAATAATCGTAGCAGTATGCTAATAGTTCAAACATTTTTTAAGAACATTCGATTCTACTTCATATACGCATCTGATAATGTTCCTCTACGATAATCTATTAATTCAATATCTAAGATTCTTTTATTTTTCTTCATCATTAGATATCAACTGTGTCGAATACAACATCATTTTCTTCACTATTCGATCATCAACAATTTTCTCAATATCCATCAGATTTTACAACAGAAACATTTCCTATTCTTCGAACATTATTAAAATATCTTCTTGAACTTCTTATTGAAATTGGTCATGATCAAAGTGAATTACATATGAATGATAATCAACAACGTCTTGTACAATATTTATCTGTCTTAATACATTTTACACGTTATGCACCGGAAAAATGTTTATTATCTGAAAATGAATATTTACATACATTATGTCCATTAATATCACATCCAAAATTAACTGAAGATCATACAATAAATAATGGCAATAAATTATTAATATTTATTTTATTACAACAATTATTAACAGAAAAAATCTTTTTAACAAATATATTAACATATGAACATGATTTTAAATAACAATTACCAATGTGTTTAATTATTGTTGATCATGAAGATCAAGAATTAATATTATATAATCGTTTATTTTTATTTATTTATTATAATATATTAAAACAATTTTGTCAACATGCATGGTTATATTGTAAAGAATTAGCTTTACATAAAAATATGTCATGGACATTAAAAAATGTTTTACCATATGTACAATTATATCCGGATGCATGTGAACAATTATCATCTATATGTAAAATAATATCACAAAAAAGTCGTGAAAATCTTTCAAATGAAGATCAACAAATAATTCAAGAATTCAAAAAAGATTTATATATATTAATTTATCGTTTTAATGATATACGTTCATCATGGACAATAATACTTGATTTAACACGTGATATGTGTGATTTACAAGCATCACATGATGAACGTTTACAAATATTAAATCGTCGTGGTCTACCTGTATTAACATCAATATTTTTTACTATTTTTTCATTATATCATGATCAAACACAAACATAAATATTTACAATACAAAATGATTTAATTTATTTATTATGTTGAATTGCTAATCTACTTGATACAACTGATATAAATATTAAAAAACCTCCAACAAATTCAACAACAAATATGCGTAATATTGTTGGTACACAATGGAAAGAAAAAATGGAATTAGTTGGAAAATTACTTTTATTACTTAATTCATATAATTCAAGTGAAATATGACAACGTGCTGTTGAATTATTAAAGAAAATTATTGTACAATTAACTATACAAGATTTAACACATGTAGCTTTACATGTTAAAACAACACATGAACAAGCAGCTTCACAACCACATCCATAATTAGGACCATGTAAGATTAAATTAAACGTAAAAACAAAATCATATATTATTATTATTATTATTTTTTTTTTTTTGAAGATTTTCCACGGAGAAAACAACCAATAAATAATTCACAACAACAAGGTAATAATACTTTTTATAACTATGAATAAGGCCTCGAAATAAGCCGAGCCAGTGGGTTAATGAAGTTTTTCTCTTGGGTCGGATACATAAGATCTGACGGACTTAAACGATATTTGAGTCGTTTAGGATCAGATTGACCCACTGGCTCGGTCAAGGGGAAAAAAGCGCGACTTCAGGGGTACATACTCCATTGGTACTCCAATTGTACTCCAATGGTACTCCATTGGTACTCCAATTGTACTCCAATCGTACTCCAATGGTACATTACTTATACTTCACAGTATTTAGTTGGGATTTTGAAATATTTCAGTTGCATTTCACCGTTACTTGAACAGTAGCTTACGTTCACTATGTTTTAATACCAAACGAGAAATGAAAAGCTTTTTGATTTCTACAATATCTTTGATATCCGTTGCTNCTTATGCACATTTCGAACCAAAAAGTCATTATAAGAGTAAGAAAACTGTTCACAAACTATTCAAAGATTGATAAAAAACAGTACCCAAAATGATGATGATTTTTCATCATTTATTTGTGGATTGATAGAGGAAGCCAAGGCCTACACAATGGTGAAAACCGCAACTCTCTAGCTCTTTCCGTTCTTGAGTTATTGCAAAAAATATCCACGACTATCTTATTATTGGACAGACAATAGATGTGTTTTAATAATTAAAATAGAGATGAAAATAAAAAACAAAACAACGTTTTTCACTTTTTCTTTAGTAAAATGTTTTAAAAACTAATTTTCACTGTATTATAAAGATTATTAGTTTCTATGTAATTCATTAAACTGTCTGTCTGATCATCTTTTACGCACCTATAAAATAAATCAACTACAAGTGTCTCTATACAACCAATTAGAAGTATAAAAAATAGAATATTCATACAAATTAGAATACTTTTTACAATCAAGAATCGTTCATTTTTGTATCATAGGATATTTAACTGTTTTACGATTATTCATCTTTAACAGGAAATAAATATGGCACCGATGCGACTTACTAGTATTAAAGTTCTTTCTCTCAGTGTGCCGCATTGTATCAATTGATTTTTTTTTCTACAAATGACAAGACCGGGAGTATTTCATTAGGTAGCATCAGTAGGTTTCAGATAGTTGCAATTCGTATACAAAAATGATCTCAATAGAAATGTATATAATTGATTGAAAATAATTGACTATATTCTTTTGTGATATGATAAAGTAGTTTTATATACAAAATTGTATAAACGAAACATGGAAATGTTAATAAGAGGAGATGACATAGTTTTAGAACAATATATAAATTATTTTGAAGAATAATGTTGTCTTGATTGTCTATTTGTTTTTTGTAGAAATCTTGTGACCATTATTCATGATCTTGCCGATAATCGACCGTTAACTGAAGCCGTTATAGCACACATAATGGAATGTTGGTCACGTTCATTATCCTATGAAGAAAAAAGCTCACAACGACATGCTACTGCTCAACCACTTATGGCTTTATATTTGCTCAATGAATGGTTTCAATCAGATCGTATGTGTGATCTTGGTGAATATGCTTTTCCACGTTTGTTCGTTGCTCTCTTCATACGTATGGCTTCACATGTTGATACATTATCGCCACAAAATGTACCACCATTGAGTCGTATTGCACCACCAACTGGTAGTTCTCGACGTGATTCAACAACAAATAATGCCAATAACGCTTCTATGTCTAGTGCAACAGGTGCAAATACAAGTAGTGCAAGAAAATCGTCATCACGTCTTAGTATATTTGATTCAAAATCATCTCGTAGTTCATCTAAAGCATCATCTACTTCTGAATAACAACAAAACAATCCTGGACTCTCTAATAATGAATTAAAAGAAATTGAACCATGGCGTTTATCAAATGATTGTATGATGCATTTTCTAAAAGTTTATAAGTGTCAATCAGAAATTAATAATGTAATGCCTTGGGAAAAGATGGCTAAATTTGATACAGCTGATTCAGCTCTTGAGGTACTTGCTCAAGGTCTAGCACGTTGTAATCATATAAATCAAAAACAATTAAATGTTATTATTGAATTACTTGGACAAGTACTTGATGGTCCTTATGATATTCAACGTGTATGTATATCAGCATTTTTTGCCGAACTTATACGATGTAATCCTGACGATAGTGAAGATCAACGTTTTGTTGGTGAACTTATTCGTTATCTATTGGAACGTTTAGTGGATCATAATATTTATGTAAGGAAGTTTTGTTTATGTGGTCTTGGTTGGTGGCGACCAGTTGGTGATAGTCCAGACGATAAAGGTTTATCAACCACTATTCTTGCATCATTAAGTAAGATTACATATATAGATTAAATTTTCATTAGAAAATACAAGCTTCGATTTTTATTTCGTTTTAGTTTCTGGTTTGGACGATCGTGAGGATAAAAATGATCTTCTTATACTTGAAGCAATGTGTTCATTATCAAATGTAATTGCCGTTATGAATGAAGATGAAGTACGACCTATTCTTATGAATGTTCTTCTACGTATTCGACCTTGTTTTGAAAAAGTAAGAATATTTAAAATAAAAAGAATACTTTGTTTTATATGTATATATTTTTGTATTTTCCACAATTTATAGGATGAAGCAAAAGTACGTTCAGCAGCATTTACATTATTTGGAAAAATGGCTTCAGTATGTGAAGAAAGATCACGTGAAGCATTCGTTGAACAAATATTTTCATCCTTAATAACATTAACACTTCATTTAAATGATCCAGTTGAAACAGTACGTGAAAGTTGTAAAACATGTTTTCAATCTATTGCACCATTACTCGATCAACCAACATTAATTGAATTATTTAAAGAAACTCTTCAACCAAAAATTGCTCTTCAATATACAGAATTTATAAGTGATTTTGCCAAAGTTTTAGTTCAACAATATCCATATAAAGTTAATTTTTTTATTATGAATTGTATAATCTTTTTTAAAAATCCTGTATCAGAATTACGTGCTAATGCAGCAAAACTGTAGCTGGTCATTTAATATTTAATTTAACTGAAGAACAAATTAATGATCTATCTAAAGAACATATTTTAAATGGTAAATAGTTTTATATATTTTTTTTTTGTAGCATTTCTAGTTCTATTAAAAGATTCAAATCCTGATGTACGTTGTCGAGTAGCTGAAGCAATGCATTTTATGTATAAATTCTAACACATAGAATCCAATAACATCGACCGAATACTTGTATTGTAATCTGTTCTTACTGATTGTCTTTCATATTAGTAATTGTTATGTTCTGTTTGGATCAAGCAATTTCTTGTGTGCGTGTGTGCATCATTATACTTTCTAGTTATTGATAATAGATAGTTTCAAAGGTACTTCCATCTTTGATTTTTTAGATAAAAACTTTTTGTTTCAACAATTTATCGATTAAAAACATCAGACATATTTAGAAAAATTCTTTTTTTTGTAATTATATATATTTTAGTTTTTTTTTTTTTTGTAATAAAAATTTGTTTTATTTTATTATTATTGCTCAAAATTTGAATATGTTCTTGCGTTTTTGCTAATATCTATTTTAGATTACATCTTCTTATCATTATGAGTTCTCGATATCCGGGATTCCGTAGTAGAAATGATGATAATGAAAATAATGAAAATTTTGTTACCAGTGGTACTCATTTTGATCCAGCTGAACCAACTAATAGTACATCAATTTTAGCTACATTAGGTAAGCAAAGAAAGATATTTAATTGACGTAATTAGAAGCTTTTTTTTAATCTCAGGCAGAAAAGCATCAAAACTTGTTGATCTTTCTTCATCAAATTATGGTTACGATGGAAAACGTTTTCATGGTGCATTTACTGGTGGTTTTAATGCTGGCTTTTATAATACAGTTGGATCAATTGAAGGTTTGATGAATATTGTTTAAGATAAGTCATCAATGATTTTATATTTATAGGTTGGCGACCAAGTGAATTTAAATCATCTCGAACAACACGAGCTGAAAAACGTATTTATGAACCAGAAGATTTTATGGATAAAGGAGAAAGAATTATATGAAGATTAAAATAACAAAGAATCTTACTTTTTATTTATAGGATTTTAGTGAACATGGTATTAATCCAAAACAAATTAAAATTTGAAATATATTTGATCAAAATGAATCTATAACACGTAGCGTAATGAAACAACAACCTGGAACATCAAATCAACGTACCAATGAAGATATATTACGTGATATGATTCGAGTCAAAACGTAAGTTTCGTCGTTTTTTTTCTGGTCTAAAAACTTTTCTAATCAAAAAATTCATATAGATTATCTATTGGTAAAAAAAATACTGATGAGTATGGGTTGGAAACTAGGAGAAGGTGTTGGTGTTAAAATGTCTCGAAAACATCGACAAAAATTAAAATGGTCTTTAACACAAGAAACACCAAAAGATCATCCTCCATCACCTCCAAAATCAGAAGAACAACAACAAGAACAAACACCTGGTGTTAAAGTTTATGGTGTAGCAATGCCACCACCATCTTTTCAACAAACAATTACGAAAACATCACGTTTAGATGACGATGATGATGATTATGATGATCAACTTGTAAGAATTCTTTTTTCTTTGTTATATTCAATAATGTATTATTCTAGTTTTGTTTTGTTTAGTATGCTAATATTAATTTACCTCCATTAGATTATGAAGTACATTTTCAATTACAAAAACGTGAACATCATGGTCTTGGTTATAAAGGACTTGAATTATTAAATTTATTTGGTCATAATAATTTATTTGTTCAACCATCAATTGAAAAACAAATTAGTAATGTTAAAATTCGTGGTCAAGTAAGTCGATTTATTATTATTATTATTTTATTTCTTTGATGATAATATTTTTCCTGTTTCAAGGCATTTGGTGTTGGTATTGAAGAAGATGAAGATGATAGAGATTTATTTGCGGAAGATGATCTTAAACAATATGATTATGAATTAACAACAACTAATGATAATTCTACTGATATTATGCGACAAAAAACACAAGAAAATAATTTTGCATTGAAATTTGCTCGTTATGAATCTATGTCAATGGCTGTTGTTTATTCGCCACCTGTAATACCAATAGATTTTCGTATTGGACATCGTTTTCCTAAATCAGCAATGCCATCACCACCTCCTCCAGCAAGTCTTTCTAATGAAACATCAGCGAATGAACCACTGAAACAAACATCGATTAAACATGATGCTAATACTCGTGGTCTTCTTCTTGGTGATCTTTCATTTCTTTCTCGTCCACCACCAAATATAAGTATTCCACCACCAAATGTAAGTGTCCCACATCCATCGAAAGTAGAAGTAACATCAGTAAAACCAACAACAATTCCAACACCATCACTTGAATAGGATATTGAAAAAGAATGTTCATCACATATAACTCCTACACCAACAAATGCTGCTCGAACACAATTTCTTGATGCTATTAAAGATCGATTTACATCATCATCTGATCGTGTACAAATGACTGAACGTCAATCATTGAAAGTTGCTCTTGAAGTAAAAGAAAAAAAAATCTTTTGTTCTAATTCTAAATAACATTTTTGAATATTATAGAGCGATTTAAAAAAAGCTGTTTCAATGAATCTTTATGGTAATTTAACTCGATCTATATCTGATTGGAAACCAAATCGATTATTATGTAAACGCATGAATGTTTCTAATCCATATCCAGAGTAAGTTTATCCATTAAAAAAGAAAAACAAATTAATCTTATCATAATAAATTGTTTTAGTGATGCATATGGGTGTGGGTGTGGGTGTGGGTGTTTGGGTATGGATGTAAGTAAAGAAAATAACTGCACACAGACCCCTACATCCACACCCACACCCACACTCACATCCATACACCCACACTCCCATCCCCACATCCAGCGATGACAATTCAAAGTTTTATTCATCTGACAGTTGTAAGGATGCTTGGGGTTTTTAAATTAATTTAACCATTGATCAATATAAAATGAATTACTATGTCTAACAAAGTATCATGAGTTACAATCTGAAGAGACTAATGAAAGTGATATTTGAAGAAATGATGTTGAAAGAAGAGTAAAAACATAAATTTCTCAAAAGTCCTAAAAGACAGCAACATAAATGAGCACCATTCAGAACCATTTATGAAACAGTGAAGTTAAATTATTATTCATTTTTGCTGATTTTGTAATATAATCGTAATATAACAATGAAACTACAATAACCATATTCGATCCAGTAGGAATAAGTACTCTTATTACAAGACCAATGGCAATAGGAGACGGTAGAAAAACACTTTTACACTATAAAATAGAAGAAGACAAGAGATTTTTTAGATGTTTGGTGTTTTTAAACATTTTCTATGCTTCATGCAACATGTAACCATGACAGTCAGTTGAAGAAAGAAACGACTCAGCATCTTAGAATTTCTATTATTTTTCATCGTTTATTCTTCTTTGTAACAAATTGCTATTTCTAACTTCAGGTAAGAGGTTGAGAGGTAATGATATACATGGTTGGCACATACAAGAAAAATAGCTTTTTTTTCTCCTTCACAACTATTTAGTTAAATGTTTTCTACTTCATACTTTCAGAAATTAGTTTTCCTATGTTAGTGAGCCTAATATACTTAGCGCAATTGAAAAGTAGTCGCGGAGGTACTTTATTTTCTTACAGATAGCTTGAAAAAATTTTCTTTTTCTATGGCATGATAGAGAAAATCATGCTCTATTTTACTATGCTATTCGATTACTATTCAACTAATATTATAATAATAAAATTTCGATAAGAACTCTTTTGTTAAAAACTAACTGGTAGCATTAGATCATAATGGACGTCGCATAAAAAAATGGAGCATTCATGTGTTGTATGTTATCATTACTTAATACCTTGAATTAAAAAAAAATATGCCACAAGATGTAGCGTGAAAAGCTCCACAATTGATAAAGGGTAGCTTATTTTATAGTTGCACTTTTTGCTTTCAAAATGAACAGAAGTCTGAGCGACCAAATTTAGATGTTGAGAAAAATGAGATTTTTTTGGTAAAAAATGAATTCATTTTTTTCCTATCTCATCTTTTTATAATTGTTCTTTATAAATTGTAGGGCTTGTTACGCTGCATCCTGTGGTATATTTTGTTTTTTTAATACAACGTATTAAGTGATAATAAAATGAAATGCAAAAGTCCCCCACCCATTGTGATCTAATGCTACCACTTAGTTTTCATCAAAAACGTTCTTATCCAAATTTTATTATTATGATATTAGCTAAATAGTGATGGAATAGCATAGAAAAATAGAGCGTAACTTTCTCTATCACGTCATAGAAAAAGAAATTTTTTTCAAGCTTTCTATAAGAAAATAAAGTACCTCCGCCACTACTCTTGGATCGCCCAAAGTAACATCCATCAGCGAAATTGCTTTCTCATTATATATAAACTGCAGTCTAGTACTTTCGTTGTTTACAGATGTGGGCGCATGATGTAAGTAATGTTAACAACAGATTCTAGTATTTCGAGCTCGATTTCGCACCGTCACTTGTATTGGATCTCTAACAAGCTGTGCTCGATGTAGATTTCATTTTATATTCAATAGCAACATTTCTTATGGGAGTTTGACCAGAAATACTGGATTTTCGATTCGATCTAGCCAGTAATACTTGCTAGCTTTCGTCTTCTTACCTCTGTTAGATATTTTAGCAGTCATATTCGACACAAAATTTTACTCACTATCGAATGATAGCATTTTTACGCGGATTGTCGGACGGCAAGTTTGCTTTGGATGTAACTGTGGGTGTTAGTGAGGGTGACGACATGACTATGTGATGTCTTGACAGCATATATCTCACGTTTTGTTTTCGGTGCACCGTTGGCTTGCCAGCGTCTATTAGGAACTCAGAGCGTCACCTGTACTTACGCACACCCAAAGGTATACCCAAGAAAAAGAACATGGTTGGATATGCCAGCAAAATCGGTTCTAATTCAAAAATCGCTTTCCAAACCAGTTCTACCTTACAAATAATGTCTCCCTTTTCACCGTTAAACTATTTCCAATACATATGAACGATTTTTCTGAATACTTCATGATCTATTCCATCAGAGAACCTACAGCTAAAACAGAACAGATTTCTGCCTCAGATAGAATGTTGCAGTGCCTAAAACAACCAGCTTCTAGAATGCAGAAGACTCATTTCTCTTGCGACAGATAGAGTTTTTATAAAGCTACAAAATGATGCACAAAATATGTATGAAAATATCTTGTTTTCGAGATTTTCCAGAGTACATACTGTCAAAACCCTATAGAAACTGCATTTGTTTTGATTGTGGGCGTGGGTATGAACTTGAGGATGACGGCTATTGATTTAGAGTGCAGGCGGATATGGATTAGTCTTAGCCTTGTGTTCATCTACAGCCAGACCCACATCCACATCTGCATACATCGCTGGGGTATCAGAAATATGAAATTGGAATAACTCGACAGGCATTGGCGATGAACACAGTCAAGAACCAATATACAAAAAATGTCTGAAAACTTGAATCTGTCTACAGTAATAGGAGCAGAACTATCTCTGCACTGTAACTTTACAGTTGTGTATCTATATATTTCTCTATGACTTTCCTATTAAGAAATAAACACGTGAAAATCGTTTCTGATAGTTCAAAAACCAAGGTAGTACATCTTTGTGCTCTGCGATCCCATAGATCGGATCCGTATCCACATAGAGTACTACGGAATATCATAATGAATGCGTCTGAGACCTGGTCCAGTCACTTTCTCAACTTTCAAAGACAGCTGCGTGGCCACAAGACTCTATACGATACCATAAACCAGCAACACAATCCATTACAGTCTATCAAACTCATGATTCAAATTTTCTAACTGTTTTATAGTCATCTACTTTTATACATATTTTGGAATCAGTTTGTAGCTTTGCAAAAGCTCTGTTTGTCCTAAGAGAAATGGCTCCTCTGCATTCTAGAAGCTGGTTGTTTTAGGCACTGCAGCATTCTATCTGAGGTAGAAATCTGCTCTGTTTAAGCTGATAGGTTCTCTTATGGAAACGACTATGAAGTGTTCAGAGACATCATTCATATATATTGGAAATAGTTTAGTGGTGAAAAGGGAAATATTATTTGTAAGGTAGAACTGGTTTGAAAAACGATTTTTGATTAGGGCCGATTTTACTAGCATAACCACTTCCTGTCCGTTTTCTTGGTTGATAACTCCGTCGAAAATGGCACCATTCGATAAAGAAGAAAATTTTGCATCTAACACAAACTTTCAGACACCCAACGCAAAACAAGGAGTCAATCTGCGCTGAAAATGACTCAAATCAAGTGGTAACATTCTCAATCTGTACTTATGAAGAAAGGTTTCTATTACTTTTTCTAGCTAACACCGATTACGATTGGGAAAATAGAAATTTTCTTTATTCTGACACCTCGCTTTTTGTGTACTCAAAAAGTGAGTACACTCTAAAATCGGTCAGTGTGTCCGTCCAGCCGTCCGTTTACACGATAAGTTTTGAAAAGAGAATCCGATCGCGATGAAATTTTCTAAATAGTTCAGTCTTAACAATATCTCAGTCGAGTTCGAAGATGAGAATAATTGGCCGAGCCGTTTCTGAGTTATTGCAAAAATACTCATTTTTCCCTATGGCTTTCTATGCGAAAATCGATCGATCCATGCTTTCGTAAAAGACTTTTTCTATCATACTCAAATAAAACCCCAGCTATTATATACCATTCGATAGAGTATTTCACGAGCTACAAAATGGTATATAAAACATAAAGAAACAAGAAGGCTAACCCATCTATTGCAAAGATAATTAAACAAAAGTTGGTTCTGTTTTTATCCATGCTCTAATTGATTCACAATTAGAGTTCTATCTTCCGATCACAGAGGTGATACTTCGAGGTTTTCTGGGGCGGAGAACTCGAATCTGTACTCCACTTGCTTCGAAATCCTATTGGTTGAGCAGTGACGAATAGAAATCAAG